TGGGGAAGAGAGGAATATACTTAAATTAATCATGTAGTAGAGGGTTTCAGTGTTAAACACCATCATATTATTTGCCATTACGAGTCTTTTCCTGCTTTTAACATAAGCCAAATCCACACAAATTAATAAAGACGGACAACCGAACGACGACAACGAAGAGAATCGAGTAATATAATACCCTTCTATAAAGTAAAATATATAATACATAGTAATAATAATAAAATATATAATATTCTGACATCAAACTTCATCCTAACAGAAAAAAAAACAACAGAATATCATCATCAACAGCTGGAACATGTCCACTGCTGGATAAAGGCCTCCTTCACGTCGAAAATAAAAATAAATAAATTATACAAGCAACCACTTGATTCCTTCCTCACTATAACCATTTTTAAACAAACTCGCATTTACTTTACACGTTCCACGAAATGACAAAACCGCTTTCTTTCGCCATGTTATGTATTTCCTTACAAAAGTCGAATTACATTTTTTTTTATTAAATTAATCCAGCGCATCTGGCTTATTATTAAAATTACAATCTTTATTTACAATTCTTTGTCCAATAAAATACTTTATCATGGCAGTGTTTTACTTAAGTCTAGGATAAAAACATTATCTAACTTTTGTTCGTGGATTAATTAAAAGAAAAATTGATTACTCCGTATAGGTATATTTTGTTTCTCAGACTATATATTATTAATATATACTATAAATTATTATAATAGTATTTTGTTACTGGCTGTAGTCTTGAATAATATATGATGTATAATACCAATTTGTTCTTTTGAAATTAGGTTGAAAATCTATTAAACTGACAAACACCGCGGGGACACCGGTGACCGCATCCTATTGTTCTTTGTGTCTATAATGACGGCGGTATTTTAGTTTAAATCAAAACATATAAGATTTAGGTTAATTAATTCCAAACCCTAACAATCATCGGCTTCACGGTCCATAGACATTAAAATTAAATTTAGGGTTACCCTAGTTACCCTAAATTTTATTTTACATTCGGCCGTTAGGGCTACTGTCCACGTTGCGACATTTGACATTTGACGTCACAAACAATGGGCAGCCTACAATATAAATGGCAAATGCTTGCATTATGTTTAGAAACAATAAAAACTGTCCACGAAACAACGCTAAATCTTGGTATTGTTTGTGAAGGATGCGCTTATTCATCAAATGACGCAACTGGACAGTAGCCCCAACGGCCGAAGTTAATAACCGAACCAAAATCTGTAAATTTAGATTGATTATTGACATTACTTGTATGCAGTTTCTGTCAAAAACACAGATAACATACACACACATAACCACAGATTTTGTAATAAGACCATTTTTTTTAATTTCTGTCTTAACTCGTCGAGTACCGTCATAATAGACACAATTATAGAACAATAGGTTGCGGTCACCGGTGACCGCTTGGTGTTTGACAGTTTAAATAATGTACCTAATAAGAAACTCCAGGACCAGTGAAAGTAAAATCTACGAATTTATATCTAAACGAGAACTTCACATAACATTTTATTTATATATTAGATACATTGTCAAACTGTTTTTCTCTTCAAATTTAAAAACACACAGGAATGACTAATTAATAAAACATTTATTTTGACGAATTCATTGTTACTATTACAAACAAATATATACTTTATTCAGAATCTGTTTAGTGTGTTTTTAACTAAGTAACTTTATTAGTTAACGTGAAAGTTACTATGGTAAAAACAAAAACTATGGTATTATACTATGGTATTTGTGTTTATTACTATAGAAACATATATTTCTTGAAACAGTAAAATCTGTAATTTGTTTTGAATACACCACATAATAAGATACAAGAAGAAGAAGCACTTATTTTTATTTACGTCCCATATATTATTTTATTTAAAAAAAGAAAGTGGAATTGGGATGATGACAGAGTATCAAAATTAAAAATCTAATTAGTCCGTAAGTATGGTAATGAAAAAATATTAGACACGTATTTTTTTATTTAGTCGTATAATAAAACAATACTAAGATAAAACGAATCAAAATTTAGGAGGGGGCTAAAACGTCAGTTCTACGCATAAAACATACATAGAAGTGACGTCACGCGACATTTCAAATCAATGTATCGTCGAAAGTATTCGTTTCTGTAAGAAAAAAAAATACGTGTCTAATGATTTAAAATAATCTACCAGACGGACATTCAAATAAAAATTAGGCATCTACCCTATTGTTTTGTTACGTCCTTATATTTCATAGGTATGGGTAATACAAGTAGTTCATACGAATGGTATACATACAGTTCATATTTTATAATAACCATCGTGAGACAATAACGCTTGAATACTGAAAGGCTACTCAATATTAAGTTGTACTCAAATATCATGCTATCTCTGTCATTTAACAAAGAATTTGTAGTGACAGAGCTATACTTAACCTGTCGTGTCTAAATGTGGATCCACGTGAGACAATGTATTTTCTAATGTGTCCCATATCGGTGCATTCAAGCGGTTAAGCGCGACTTAAAATTGAATGACGTTTGAGTATTTCAGCGTAAATTAAAAACACCGGTTTATTCTCGTGAAATAATGAGAAAGCTTCAGTAGTCACAGAAGGACTCTTCTTTATGAGCAGCATGCGCGGACGTATCGAGTAGGCAACGCGACGTCGCTGCGCGCTGCTGTGTGCTTACTCTTGAAACCAATCTCAATGTCAATGCAATTTCAATTCAATAAAATCTCAATAATTATTCAATGTCAAAAAGATACAACCCCTATCGTAGCAGTTACCCAAGCGTATGGCGCGTCCCGAGCGTACGGCGCGTCGCGTTCCGCGCGCGCCTCAAAGAGCTATCAGACCACCACAGATGGGGCCCAATAGGGCCGATGCCGATTCGGAGTCGCGGAGAACCTAACGGGTAACCGGGGCTCCGGCTCGACGTGCAGGAGAAGGAACGGGGTGGTTTTTAGTCAGTAAGAGTCTGACACTCCCTCCCGCCTCACCCAGGCGGGAGCAGTCATTCGATGATTTTCCCCCCCTTAAAAAAAAAAAATCATCGTAGCAGTTAAAATAGCATTCCGAGTACGGAATATAAAGCCAAACTCAATACCATTTAGTTCCTTTAATATCCGCGCAATACGGATGCAATGGACGCTCGTGTTGCAACTCAAGAGTACAAAATTTCACAATACCAATGTCGATCGATCGGAATTGGAATCAAGAGTAAGCCCACTGTTTATTAAAGTATAGTTTATATTCACACATTACACACATTGATTAAAAATACAAGAACGTCACAGTTATCACAAAAATCGCTACTTATAATTATTATGAGAAGCTTGACACATAATTATGTATATAGATATACACATATTACTGAAAACATGTGATAATATAAAAAGATGCATAGATAAAATTCTATATAAATAAAATGAATACATTCATACTCATGATAAACACATTTCATATACATAATATCATGTAATGGAAAAGTATAAAAAGATACTAAAAATAAAAATTGGAATTATAAAATTGCTATTACTTAACTATTTACATTTTGATCTCTATAAGGATTAGAATCTGTGAATTAAATTCTACACAAGAATATTCACTTTGTAATTTAAAAAAATATAAAGAATTTAACTAAAATTTTATGATTTGTTTACATTATTATCAATGTAAAACAATGTACAGTCGGCAGTTATTTAGTATGCAAGTAAGAAACTAAAGATTTACCCTGAATAGAGACTGTAGTTATTATTATAAATTACTAGCGACCCGCCCTGGCTTCGAACGGGTGCAATATGCCTGTATTATACATATAAACCTTCCTTAAGAATCACTTTATCTATTAAAAACCGCATCAAAATCCGTTACGTAGTTTTAAAGATCAAAGCATATATAGGGACAGACAGACGGGGATAGCGACTTTGTTTTATACTGTGTAGTGATATAGTTTTTAATCAAGTCATATTTTAGTAACAACTGTTCAGGGTCCGGGTAAGTAGCCAACCAATGGTTACTGTCTCTGTACTGAATCAATCTTTGCTTTCTTACTTGCATATTAACTGTACATGAGCACATATTTTGTATAATTCTGAAAATGTAATCTGCCAATAAAAAGAATTTATTTTTATCTGTACAAGAACAATGAGTAAAAATTAAACTATAAAATTATTAAATAGTACTTTGTTGCTCTGCTCAATTTGCCTGCAAATATTATCATTATCACAATAACATAAAGTTCTGTTTTATTCAACTATTTTTGTGTGTCGTTATCACATATTATCAAATAACTAAAACGATGAGAGCCAATAAAACGCAACCTGATGTGAAAAATGTTTTAGAAAAATAGAACAGTGTCCATTACACTAGCCGCTGGTGTTCCATAGTAAAAGAGCTAAAGTAACCTTAACTAAACTAAACCATTACATTTTACTAGCAAATAATAATAATTTGCTCACACTTATCAAACCTAAGAGACAATAACTCATGTCATTTGTGATTACATTCTCTATTAAATAAATTCAACAACGAGACCAAAATAATACGAATTTATATCGCCTAAATATAGATATAAAAACCGTATCCTATGACACATAGTACTACGACGCTATTTTAGGGTACAAAATATTCATAATTGTAATTTCAGTCGTCATTTAATAAAACCAATCATTGCAATAAATAATCTAATTACCTGATTGTTTTGGTAGATAGATGGAAACGAAAGCCTAAATATTAATGTAATTTTATGATAAGTGCACCGGCAACGGGTCAGTGGAGAATAAACAATTTTTAATATACAAATCCTTACTAATATTATAAATCGGAAAGTGAGTTTGTTTGTTTGTTCCGCTTTCACGCCGTAACTACTAAACCAATTGCTTTGAATTTTTGCAAACGTAAAGTTAGAAGTCCGGATTAAATAATAGGGTTCTTTTTATCCCGGAAAAATTTGATATTCCCGAGGGAAAACAAAAGTATTGGTATAGATGGCGTTGTGTGTATTGGTATATATATGTCGCATTAGCTATTTTTTATCCATTTGTGACGCGAGCGAAGCTGCGGGTAAAAGCTAGTTCTAAATATTTGTACAACTAGGTATATTTATGAGTCCAAAGGGCTTTAGTTTAGATCTGTGCTCTGATTGGTTGGATCATTGGAGCCGGCCAATCGAACGTCGAACGCGAAGTTAGAGGATTTTGTTGGCGTTAGCGCCGAACGTCATAAACATGTCTATCACATTAACGCAAAAAAAAACGCACTAGACCCTCAGAACGTACAGGAACGTCACTCCGTTCGGCGCTCTCATTGGTTGGTTTATTGTAGCCGGCCAATCAGAGCGCTGAACACGGTCTCAGTTCGATCTCGTTATACTAAACCCTCTGTCCTTTCAAAGAACACAAGGTAACATTTAACGTAATTTGTGCAAAATATTGCATCACAATATATATTGTACATATTGTAGCTCGTATCTATCGTCGTAGATTATAGAATATTTCGTAGAATCGAGTTCGATACACCGGATTATATTTTGTGCTGAACTCCATCATATATGCTCATTTTACCATAATATGTTTTGTTACGTTTGTATAGTGACAACTACTAGGTCAAATATAATTATGATCTTTTAAAAATATTACCTTTGAACTTTAGTGGGTGTCCAGCACATTCACTTAAAAATATTATGGCATTTTACCTCAGAGAATAAATTACGTATATGATTCAACATACACATTATTCGAATTCGAAACGCAGAAATTTATTGGTTAAAAATAAAAATTTTGATTTAAATATTACGCAAGTTAGGCTTTCGTCTTTAACGGTCAGTCTCAAACTGAAAATGGTCATAAGTCATAAGTAAAAAACATAAGTGAAAACATAAATGGAATAATGTACTAAGTTACTTACCTACAACTTCATATTCCTTACAAAATTCCTTGTGCCATCACTTAGTTTAGTACCTTCGCGAAACATTCTAACCCTAAGCCATTCGGCCACACCCGATGCTGCCCGATTATTAAATACAATTACGCACAACCCCACCAATAAATCATAAACAAAATATCTGTACCAATTCATTTGAATTTCGACTTAAATTAGCTGTGATCCAGTAATATCAAAGGAATCAATATATACAAAAACTAATCGAAAATCATGTTATAATCAGTACATCTGACAACACCGGCAGTGACCGTACAAAACGACCTCAAAAAGCGTATTGTCTACATAAGCCTACGTATAACTACCGTCAGTCTTAGTTCAGTGATCGGCGATCTCACATGTGATCTCGATAAACGCCTCTTTTTGCTCACGAAAAAATTTTGAAAGCCGTTGTTTTTGTACATCATTGTAACTTTTATTTGTCAATCTTACTTCATCTAATAGTTTTTGCACAGCCTTGTTATTTGGGGACACTTTATCTGCTAGTCTGAGGTCCATGAGAGCGTCGTCGTAGTTTTTAAGAGCGTAATTCGCTTGACCGCGTCTGTATAACGCTTTTTCATTTCTCGGGTCTATTTCAAGTACCTGTAAAAAATAGTATTAACTGAGAGTAAGTTTCTTTTAGACCATTAGACCATTTTTTATAGATTCTGAGTGCCAAGCACGAATAACTATCCTACCTAACTAGCCAAATCCAGTGAAACAAACAATCTAGAGTACCGAACGCGCTCGATACCATTACGTTACGAATGCGATAATAGGGTAGATGACTAATTTTTACTTTAATGTCCGTCTGGTAGATTATTTTAAAACATTACACACGTATTTTTTATTTCCTTACAGATACAAATACTTTCGACGATATATTGATTTGAAATGTCGCGTGACGTCACTTCTATGTACGTTTTATACGTAGAAATTACGTTTTTACTCCCACTCCTGAACTTTGATCCGTTTTATTTAACCTTCAAGCGGGCGCGCGGTCTTTTGTAACGGGAGCGGGCGCGCGTAACCGAATAGACCTATGGGATGAATAAGACCAAGAAAGCAATAATTATGGGATAATCATTTATTAATTTGTACTAAGATACAATATCATTGTCTTTAAAGAGAAATTAGTCACAACAAGTAATTAAAATTATGAAAAGAAGCAATTATTAAGTCACCTAAAGTAACTCAAATATTCTTCGGATCAAAATAAAAATTAAGACCCGTTTACATGTGTTAGGTTGGTTTATATACGTAGACCAAAAAATAAATAAAAAGTAAGGATAAAACTCTAAAAACTCATTAATTTTGATTTTATTTTCGTCAGTATTCTAGTAATTTTTCAGATTTTGCTACTTCGTTACTTTATCGCGTCCTGTAAAACAGCTATTTATTTCCGAAAGCTACAAATTATTCTCATCTAAATCCGACAAGGATGATATCACATCAGATAGATGTTCTTCTAAAACTATGTGATGAGAAGTTTCAGAGCCTTGGTTGCTAAGCTCTGATTCACTCTCTTCTTCGTCTTCTCTTTGTAATTCCTCGATTACTGTACTTTGCGATAACCATAAACGACTTATTTAAACAAAAAATGCTTTAAAACACCAAAACTCCAAGCTGAATTAGATAATATTGACATGTGTATGTCGCGTTGGGCGTCGCGCGTAACCTATTCGACGACAGGCGCGTGTAGTCTTTTCAACGACTGCGCCAGAGCCTAAACAATTGTAATTTGTGGAGTGTAGAGAGCGCTTCAAGCAACGGAATAGTTTTTATTTTACTCCTAAAAAGATAGTGACAGGCTACTAGAAATTAGAAATGCATGTGGCAACTAAAAATAAAAATACGAACGAAAATGTATTAACCGCGGTCGATTCGACTACGCGCGCCCGCTTGAAGGTTAAGTATTGTATCCTTGTACGACAAAATAAAAAAATACGGGTCTAATATTTTCTCATTACATTACTTACGGACTAATTAGATTTTTAATTTTCATACCCTGTCATCATCCCTATTATAAGTGTTTGGCACTCTTAGAATCTAGTGTAAGTTTTTTTTTTACGTTGACGCTATCGACATGTTTATGACGTTCGGCGCTCTGATTGGCCAGCACAAATTATTGACCAACCAACCAAAGGTCTAAATACGTAACGTTTCGATTGCGTTAACGTAAAAAAGAACTTGCACTACACCTTCTCTGTAAAATAGACATACTCACCGAAGTACTGTACTGAACTGTTGACCTATAATCCTCTAACTTCATGTAACAAGCCGCCATGTTGAGATAGCACTGCGACACGTACATTGTTCGTATTTCTAGAACTGTAGACAAAAAAACATAATTTAGGTAATTCATCATCATCATCAACAGCCTGTACCTAAATACCCACTGCTGACCAAAGCCTTTTCTCACACGGAGAAGGTTTGGGCATTAAACTGTCAAACACCAAGCGGTCACCGGTGACCGCAACCTATTGTTCTATAATAATAATTGTGTCTACAAAACCGGTACTCGACGAGTTAATCACGGTTTTATTTATGTCTTAATTTTAATTATGACTGCCTCGTTGGCCGAGTGGTCGCAAGTGCGACTGCCGGGCAAGGGGTCTCGGGTTCGATTCCCGGGTCGGGCAAAGTATTGCTGGGTTTTTTAAAAATCTCAGTAGTAGCACGGAGTCTGGAAATGTGCCCGGTATATGGCAATAGGCTCACCCCCTATTACATGGGACTTATAACATAAATAATAAATAGTGAAAAGTGGGTGTTACATTGTACAGTGGCATTAAGTGCCGAAATGTGCACCTACCCCTTCGGGGATAAAAAGGCGTGATGTTATGTTTATGTTTTAATTATGTATTAATTCCAGCCTATTTTTTGTCTTATTGCATAACCTAAATTGGTGATAATTTGTGAATACAGTAAATAACTAAGTTAAGAGGTATATCCATAGGCAGTACAGCAGCTGTTCCCAAATGCCATTTAACGCTTGTTTACATGTAGAATACAAAACCAAATTATATGGAATTATTAACGTAAATGCTG